TTATAATATATTTATGTCAAAGTAAATTTTTGTAATTTTAATATGTACATTATACATAAAGTTTTTTCAATTTATTACGTATACATAAACCTTGTTGTTACGAAGGGTATGTAAAATGAATGCAAAAATATTACGTCAGATTGATGATAATTTTACTTTAAAAAAATTGCTGATGAAGGACGGTTCCAATTTGGTTCCAACCGGTTCTGGAACTGATCTCAAATAACGAAATTGCTAGTTTTGGAGATGATTTTCTGGCGAGAAAAATAGAATTCATTTATATCAAATTTTAAAGGGTGTTACTTATTATAGTTAAGCGATTGAACTTTTCTAAAATTAGCGACTGATTTGGAACCGCCCCATCCCTATAATAATAATAAACATATTGAAACAATAAAGAAAATATGCATTCAGATTATAATTTATTCGTAACTTAATTTGATCCTAACTTAGCAATTATTATTATTATCAGATCATGATTGTTAGTCGTTATTATTATAAATAGTTACACGGCAAATCATTTATTCGTAATAGTAACTTAATTTTACGGAAAATTTCTTAATTTAGCAATTATTATCATTATAATTCTGATCATGATCGTCGGCCGTTTCACAGTGAAATCATTTATTCGTAATATATAGTAATAGTAACTTAATTTGACGTGATACGGAAAATTTCCTAATTTAGCAATTATTATCAGCGAAGCTGACGGATTACACCTAAATATTTAATATAAATAAAATAAAATAATTTTTTATATATTACTGTTATGTATATATAATAATAGTGTTATCATGACTACACTAATATTTTTAATGATCGGTAGTCAAAAAAATTATCTACTGTATCATAGTAAAATTCGTGTTTCCTACACTCTACTCTTAAAGATCGCAGTTTATCTACTTTCCCTATTTAATGTTTTTTTTAATAATTAGTAATTCTTTTTAAAAAAACCATAATTATTAGTTTAAAGTTTGTTGAAAAGAAATGAGTGGTGAAGAGATTGAAAAGAATGGTAATAAAGAAAGTGAGGATGTTGATAATGTAACTGTTGATGATACAACCAAGACTGTTGTTAGTACCAATGCTACTGAAGAGACAGCAGCAGCAGCATCGCAAGAAAAAGTTAGACTATTAGTTAATCAATTGGCACTTTGGGATGCAATCAATTCACAGCCTACCACTTCAGCTAGTGCCAAAGATCATAAATTTTGGAATACTCAACCTGTGCCAAAACTTGGTAATATTGATTATCATGATGATGATTGGTGACTTATTGTTATTAATTATTAATACTGCAATATCAAAATATCATTTCTACATTTAATAGATGAAGTAACTGAGAAGAATGAAGCAATAGAAAAAAATATCCCCCATGATGAAATTCGTAAAGAACCTTATAACCTACCAAAGGAATTTGAATGGACTTCATTAGAATTAAACAATGAAGATGAGGTAACTTGCAATTAATTTAAAAATTATTAATTCATAATTAATAATTAATGAAAAATTTGTTTTAATAGTTGAAAGAACTTTATAATCTTTTAACAAATAATTATGTGGAGGATGATGGTGCAATGTTTAGGTTTGATTATTCACCTGAATTTTTGAAATGGTAAAATATTATTTTTTTTTGATGGAGGATTGTTATTTATGAGTGTAATTTAATTTAATTTTCATTTTTGGGGGGGGGGGGGAATAAAGGGCACTTATGCCACCAGGTTATTTAAAAGTTTGGCATGCTGGAATTCGTGTTACTGCATCAAAAAAACTTGTTGCATTTGTGAGTGGGATTCCTGGAAATATTAGAATATATAATTCGTAAGTTTAAATAA